AACACTTATATAGACAATAGTGGTATATATAAATAGTATTTGTATACTATGTTCATTTAAAATAAACACCATATATATATAGAAACAAATGAAAACAGAAAATGATAATACACTAGTTTATATGTATCTTGCATGCATATATACATGTGGACATATTTATGTTATTGTTATTTGTTGTTTACTGATTTTTTAGGTTTTCATTCGAAATTCAAAATTCTGCTGTTTAAATATAATAAGAATTCAAATTATTGATAGCCGGTAAAAACAGGTAAAAAGGTTATTTCGGCGGAATCGATATACGCCCGTTTCATTAAACAAAAACACAAATTAAAAAATTGTAGAATTTTTTTTTTTTATCTGATAATTTTAGTTTACATTAAACTATAATTTTCTATAAAAAAATAATAAAAAAAATAAAAATAATGTTATATTGTCATTATTTTATTGGTAGGTACTTTTAGATAAAAAAAAACATTATTAACATGCAAAATATGAAAAAACTTAAATATGTAAAACACATTTTTGAATTTGGATTCTTTAATTACATTTATATCTTATCTAGCTATTTTTGGACCATTGAGTAAAAACATGCAAATGCAAGAAATTCCAGTACTAATTACAAATACACGTTGGGGAGGGATGGAGTGAATCATCTGCTTCTGTATGGTAGATGGCATCAAATTTTGACCATTAATAATTTCTTCAAGGGAATGATTCTGATTTTATTTTTTTATGAAATGGACAAACTTATTATTTCTGAATATCAAAAATTATGTAGTTATTACTAATTAGTAGCCCTTACGGTTTACCAATATCATTAAAGTAAATAGAGGTCGTCTTCTCTTTCAAAAAATACAATTTCTTAGAACTACACATATATTGTGTTTCCAATTAACTTAGTTTAGTTGTGAGCTTACATTAACACGTTCTTATGCGTTCTTGATAAACGTGTAGAAAAGCCGAGTTTTTTTTCTTCTAAAAACAAGCAAGCAAGGAGAAATCAAAACTTTTTTAATCGAATTTTTAGGACTTCATAGCCGAACCTAATCACAAAACAAAAACCGTCCATATGATATTAGAAGACAAAAAAGTGAAAAATGTGTAATGTAAGCGTATAAATAAAAAAATATATAATTTGACTCTAAAGATTTAGTAAAGTTTGTTCACAACAAAGTTCACTTTTTTGGGTGAGAAAATCTGTTATATTTACATGGCTGTCATAGAATTGAGAGATTGAAATGTCTTATATTTTGTGCTATCTATTCGTTTTTTAATTTCTAATTAAATTAATGACGGGAGCATACCTCGGTAATCTATATGTAGTATGTACACAACCGTAAAACATGCTTATAGGTTTATATATATATATATATATTATATTTGCTAGAAATAATTAGGTATGTAGTTTATGTATATTATTATCAACTCTAGTTTTCATTTGGGGTTGCTGTGCAACGGAACAGTTGTAATTAACAAATTATATTATATTGTATTGTACATTTTCACTTTTTTTTTTATAAATTGTCGTGGATTCTCGATGAAATTTCCAAAGAACATTTTCTACGCTCAAAATATGAAGAAAACTAGAAACAAATTTAATTTTTACAGTTAAATGAGGATATCCCTTAAAACAGTGTTTGTACGCTACCTTATGCGGTAGGTATGCCAAGTATATATGAGGTGACAACCGTGTTTTTTCGCAGGTCTATGTTTAGGACAGAAATTAAACGGCTCCACGAAGTTTGTCAATGTAATGAAAATTATAAATTATTTTGAGTGAAAAAAGCGATTAGCTTTGTCTCGACCCCTGAAAAAGTCGCAAAAGGGATCAAACTATAATACCCCAATTAACAACAACGCTATTCAGCTCCTTAGATTTATAATTAAATTTACATTGACTTTGTTAAAACTGGTACAAACTGTTGGTCTTTTAAACCACGAAATCAATCAAATTTAACCCCTTGTATCTTGCAACCAAAGAAATTCTCTAGCTGCAAAATGTTACCACATATTCTATGTATAACATAGAACTAAATGCTTTGTAAATTTCAGATTGTTTTTATTCGGTAACACCTAAGTTATAAATAGGCTTATAAAGTGTGTGATTTTCCGTAAAGAGTAAAAGTTTATGGCTATTCTAAGTTCACATAAAATCATAAAAAAATTTCAAAAATGATATGAGAAAAGCTTAACCTAAAATGTATATGAATAAAAAAATGTTTTGGAGTATTAACTGGAGTAACTGTTTTAGAGACTTTGTTTATAAAAAAAAAAATTAACAAAAAGTGCAAACAATGTTTAGACGTTTTTGTCTACTAAACGTTAAAAAACAATTTTTTATTTAAGAAGTACATGTACACTTAAGATGCAAAGAAATAGTGAATATTTCAGTTTGACATTATATTTTGTTATAAAGTTATATGCATAATTACATAGTTTTTATAAATAATTTTACCAGTATTTCGTTGACTAAAAAATAATGAGTACAACTTTTTTTTTTATTATTGTTTATTGCTATCGTTTACCTTGTTTTAGTGTACTATTCAATTTTTAGTCAAATTAAAAACCTAATCACACACACTTTCGATGATTTGGCGTGGAATGACCCCAAAAATAATTTGTCAAGTGTAGGTACAACATCCGCAATAAAGGGGATTTTTATTAGTTTTTTTTTACATGACAGTATTATAGGGCGCAATACGATTGCGCGCGGTCCTTATCTGCGGTACCTTTTTAGGCGTACGATTGCGCGCGCTATATAATTTGTACTTCTATGCAACGTTGGTCCAAGTACATAGGTATATAGGTAAATAAGAAATATCCATACGAATTGTGGCGATCTGTACGCATATAAGCATACCATACATTGTTAGAGGACCTGTAGAAAATCGCGAGTTCTGATTGGCTCTCTGACACATGTGATAACAAATTAGCCACAACAGCTGATATATTCTACGGCAGGTCACCGAGTGTTTTGGCACTCACTCGCTTCGCTCCGCTAACTAAAAATATCCTAGGTTTGCAGGCTACAGTCTAGGAGGAGGTCACAGGTGAAATCAAATTTAAATTAAATTAAACTTTTTTAACGATATTTTTTGAATTATTTATCTATGTAACCATTAGCGGCAACGTCGCATCCAATTTCACGCGCAATAGTACGCCTTTGAAGGGTCAAAACCGTGTTCTTTGTTATTCCGGCGCCGCGCGCAATCGTACTCCGCCGGTATTATAATTAGGTATGTCTGAAAGACGAAAACTTATATCTTTGATTAAAGAACAAATACAAAAAAATATAATTTAAAATAGTTTTTATATATTCCACTAATTAAATTTTTTTTTTTAAAATACAGAACCAATGAGGGGGAACTGTTTTCCACATGACTTCCCCTCATTAGCCGTCATCGTTCATTAATTATTCACATATGTGCATATATATAAATACTGTTTTTTGTAAGAAAATCCCCTTTACCCCTGCGGGCGGGGGGGGGGGGCTCACATTTACATTTACATGCCCGGTTTTATACAATTATTACGCTATTATGTACGCTGTTCCTCTAAGGAATCGCTCCCGTTCTCTTCCGTCTTTTGTTTTCGTATCCATTATCGTGCCCACCATGCTGACGAATGCTGTCTACGCTTTGTCAGACGCCTCCATTAGGCGGCCTCTATGACTATCCTCTGGAAGCTCTTCCACGTTTGGGTCACACAGCAGATCTTCCACATCTTCCGGATTTGGTGGTCTTCTTAAGAGTTGACGAGTACACACATTGTGGACTCCGGGCTATTCTCCTCCTCCACAAATTACTCTTGGAAGCACCCATGACCTGTCAACATTTAGGTGTTAGGTGAAACGTGACTACTGGGTTCGGTCTCCCTATCCATCGGGCCAGACTCGGCAAGATCCGTCTAGTCCAGCTAGCTTTAGGTGAAGCGCTCTACTTTTCTTGCCACTCGCTAATTGTTCTAGCCCTTTCCTCCGTTTTAATGATAAAAAGTTGGGTAGTACCTTCTGCCTTTCGAAACGTAACCCTCTCGTCAGACACGGTGCGGTAGGTTCTCATTACACGTAGGGCTACTCGACGTTGGACTTTGATACACGCCTTCCTATTTTTTGCCGTTTTGAATGCAAGTTTCGCCCATGTTGGTGATGCATGGAACATTTTGGAATGCACTACCGTCGTTAGCAATAATCTTTTCGATCGGGACGGTCCGCCGATGTTTGGCATGAGTCTTCCAATTGCATTCGTTGTATTTCCAGCTTCCATAGTAGCTTTATTTATATGTTCATTAAAACTTAGTCTTTTGTCCAGTTGGATACCCAGGTACCTTATCGACTTCCTTACGGGTATTTGGTGCCCATCGACTTTTAGTTGTGGGTCCTGGTATTTCCACCTCGTGAGCATTACCGCTTCTGATTTTTGCGGTGCTATTTGCAGTCCGTGATCCTTCATCCATCTATTGACAGCTTCCAATGTTTGATTTACAGTTGCTTCTAGCATTGGGGTATCTTTTGCGATAGCAACAATTGCTAAATCATCTGCGAACCCTACCAACTTGACACTAATTTTATAGTAACAAATTTAAGTTTTTTAAGCCCCCCCCCCGGCCCCCTCGTCTTAGATGATTTCGGTTACATACGCTATTGCTATCTGTCGTCTGGACTATTTTAATTTATATTAAAACGATGAATAATGTAGGTAACCTTTTATGACAGATTTTATGAATAATAAAATGTTATAGTAAACATGGAAGACATTTCAAAGTTAAAGTCACAATATTTTAGTCGCGTTATAAAATTACTTTTCTGTATCTATAAATAAGCCAGACCAGACACCAGTGAATATAATATTTTATTAGGAGGTATTATGAAAATTAATGGCGCCAAAATTGAAACCGCAGAAATCGTTGCTGAGTTCATATCGGTCACTACCCTAAAACATGTTGCTAACTTCTGAATAGTTATTTATTAATTATTATCTTTTATATATGATAAAAATTAAGGTGTGTACTACGATCTGTGTGTATTACATCTATAGACTATATTTTTCGTGAACAAATTTTGCTTGTGTCCCAAATTTTTAAGTTACATTTTTTTTTTAGATTTTAGTATACAGACAAAACGTAAGTTAAGTGAAATACACATTGCATATTTATATAATCCTATTTTTCGTGTATAATTCGTGGCATTTGTTCGCGATTTATATTGTTTTTATACCTAGTTTATATTTTAAGAGAAACTGGGCGTGAACATCGATGACTTGATTAAATAATCATAATTTATTTTTTAGATTCTACGATGGTCGATACAGGATGCTTCTTTAATATTGATGGAGGTTATTTAGAAGGTTTATGTCGTGGGTTCAAGTGTGGTATATTAAGACATGCCGATTACTTAAATCTGGAGCAATGCGAGACCTTGGATGACCTGAAGTTGCATTTACAATCAACAGATTACGGACAATTCTTAGCAAATGAGCCAAGTCCTTTGGCCGTGTCTGTCATTGACGACAAGTTACGTGAGAAACTCGTAATCGAGTTTCAACATATGCGTAATCATGCTGTTGAACCATTGAGCACGTTCCTCGATTATATCACTTACAGTTATATGATCGACAATATCATACTTCTCATCACAGGCACATTACATCAGCGTCCCATTTCTGAACTTATACCAAAATGTCATCCATTGGGAAGTTTTGAACAGATGGAAGCTATTCATGTTGCTGCTACTCCAGCCGAACTTTACAACGCTGTTTTGGTAGACACTCCTTTGGCACCATTTTTTGTCGACTGTATTAGCGAACAGGATCTTGATGAGATGAACATTGAAATCATTCGAAACACACTTTACAAAGCGTACTTGGAATCGTTCTATGATTTTTGCAAGAAGTTAGGTGGTATCACAGCCGATACTATGTGTGAAATATTGTCATTCGAAGCAGATCGACGGGCAATTAACATAACAATAAACTCTTTTGGTACGGAACTGACTAAAGACGACAGGGCTAAATTGTATCCGAGGTGTGGTAAACTTTATCCAGACGGATTAGCAGCGTTAGCTAGAGCTGATGATTACGATCAAGTAATTGCTTAATGTTTATAAAGATTTGAGTAGATAGGTATTGATTTGTTCCTCTTTTGTTTAGGTAAAAGCCGTAGCTGAATATTTTGCTGAATACAGTGCTTTGTTTGATGGGGCTGGTACTAATCCTGGAGAAAAAACTCTAGAGGATCGTTTCTTTGAACATGAAGTTAAACTTAACGTCAATGCATTTATGCGTCAATTTCATTATGGTGTGTTCTACTCGTACTTGAAACTTAAAGAACAAGAATGTAGAAATGTTGTTTGGATATCCGAATGTGTTTCACAGAAACATCGTGCTCGTATGGATAACTATATTCCAATTTTCAAATAAATTAACTTCTAGTGCACATCTAATATAATATATTATTATAAAATGTACTATAATAATATAATATATTGTTATGTTACATAAATTATTACATTACCACATACATACATTCAGCATATGAATTTGCGGTAATGTTATTATTATATTTTAATTAGCTTACTTAGAAAAAAATCATTGTATCTTGATCATTCCATTCATATTAGTATGGCCGAAGCAGTGTTGATAGTTTTCCAAAATAATTATACTTCATTTTGTTTTATTAAATTATAAGTGTAAAAAAAATGTAACTATTTTAAATGGAGTTATTAAAAAGATAGTTATCCTTCAAGATTATTATTTTGTCTACATCAGTCATATCGACCTGAATTTCTAATAATATACAATAACTGATTATTTTTCATTGAAAAACGGATCATAAGTATTATTATTAATTTTGAAAAAAAATATGTTTTACCAAGATGTCCAATCTCTTAGAATAAATAAAGACACGTACAAAAGCTAATAAAATATTGTTTTTTATAAACAATGTACTCTTTTTTTATTATTATTACCAATATAATCAATACAAATACAGTATTAAATATTAAGCTTAATATTGTTTTCTAGTATTATAAAAATAATTGTATGTAATAGATAACATTAACTTACACTGATTTTAATTATTCATAAATATATATAAAAAAAAAAAAGGTCATTTTAAATTTATAAAATAAGTTATTTTAAATTAAGTATACAGTCTAAGAGGATTCAGAACGCACATTTTATTAAACAGTGCATTGACAGTCTTATATTAGAAAAAAAAACAAACAAATATTTATATATTAGTATTATTTAATTTGTGAGTATGTGTAAACACGGCATACTGTTTTCTAAACATATATCAAGTAATACCGTAAATGGAAAACCATATAATTTAGTGACGTACTATAATAGTTGAGTTAACATTAAACTTTTACTGAATGAACGCTGGCCAAACAACATTTATTTTTTAAGTCTTACAAAAATAAAAATAAAAGTGCAATCATTATTTATATAATATGTATTAAAAAAAAAACTAATACCATCATAAAGTTATATTAATTTTGATAGTGCAGTATAACAAAATTGTGCAGAAATTAAATAGGTGGGAAATTGATTACAAAATTATTTATTAACAGTAGTTTCTTTGAAATAAAACACAAATTTATATTCACACACAATTTCAATACATTAAATTTAGTAGAAATAAAATAATTTTACTAATATTTTAAATTAACATTACAATACTAGCTAGAACGTCTAGATTGTCACTGCCATCCAGTAACTTAGTAATTTGTCACTAGATAGAACAAAATTCAGCTTGTATCGTTTTTTGAGTTCTTACTCATAATACATCGCAGCTCAGGAATTCTAAGCAAGACTCCATATCTTCACTATCGTCAACTAATAATTTCAATCTAAAAAAAAGATTATGTTCAGATCAATTCATTATAATTATTATTTAAATGTTAATTTCTAAAAACTTACTGGCTTTTAAAGTTGTCACGTTTTTGCGAGTCCATAGTGTCCTTCATGTGCTTCAGCGCAGTCATGCACAATGCTGACAACGATTTGAAGCATTGTCTACGAGCTGCATTGTGCGGTGGACTGTCCCAGACTGGAGTGTTACGAACATGTTTCCAGGCCATAAAAACATAGTCCAATACAACTGACCACTGGTTGCTTTCAACCAAACGTCGGCCTTGATCAACAACACATTTCTAAAAAATAAAATAGTTGACATTAAATACAATAAATGCAAGATAGATAGCATTCAATTAAGTAGGAACATAATGCCACAAGTACTTTAAACGCTAGGACGTGAGTAGAAACACGATTGTAAGCTGTGGAATCAGTCTTTGAAATCAGCCGACTACTAGGCAAGGCCTTGTAAATGTTCCGACGCAAATAATAAATGCGATCTTCTAAAGGTTTCAAGTCTGCCAACGGGAAGTTAGATCTCACTTCCTATTAACATATCATAAATATTAATTATTAAATACAAACAAATCAAAAACAAAAGATATAATTTTTTAAAAAAAAATTTACTTTTTCTATCTCTGGGTGATCAATAACAATTTGTCCAATAATTCCAATTAGCTGATCAGACGATAAAGCTTTCAATGCTGATAATATGCAATTGTCTTCGGGAAGTCCAATAGTTTGTTCGGTACGGAACTTTTTGTAATTAGGAGAACCCTATTGAGTGAATTAAAAAAAAATATTAATTATAAACTATGTACTTACTACTAAGTTGCACAACATAATTAATACATGCAAATACAATAACATACAATTTTATATTTATCAGGAGAAGACAGTTCTAGTGGATCGTTTAATAGCAATCTTTTGCGTGGTGTACTTCTAAGAACAATTGAACTCTTATTTGAAATTGAGCAACATGACTTCGTTGGAGTTTCCTGATTATTCTAAACAGGAATATTAAATTTTACTAAAATCAAAAAATAAAATAACTTTAACTACCAGAGTAATAAAAACTAATTTACCTGTTTTATGGAGTCAATATCAGGGCTGAAGGTTACAGGTATCTTGCGACGTCCTCGTTGTTGAATAATCAACTCATCGGGACTTGGAGATGGTGTCATCAATGATGTAGGCATGTTACTAATTGTTGTGTTCATGATATTGACATGATGATCAGTTCTACCTAATCCTAAGAGCACGTAAATCAAACATTACAATTCTTATAAGTACAAAGTTTAGTGAACAAAATTAATACTTTAAAAACAACTTTTTTTTTTATCTAGTCATGCTTAATAGTGTTTCAAAACAATCTTCTGAAAAAATCAGATAACTTAAAAACTAAATTGTAGGTTTTTATAAAATTTGAATTTCCTTTCGATTTAAATAAAACAATTTTATTACTGAATATTAATATATAAAATATTCACCTAGATTAGGATCAGTCATTGACAATCGTCCAAGTCGTGTTGGTATTTCAGCTAGTACACTTCTAGTCATAATGCGATTTGTTGTTTCTGGATTAAAAGGCGGTGTTTCCATTTTAAATAATTTTTCTAAAATTAAAAAAATACACATACCTAGATGAGTAAAACAAAACCTTTCTCATCATGAGTCAATTATAAAAAGTAATAAGTAACAAAATAATCGAAGCAAACTTCTGTAAAAAATTTACTTAGTTAACAAAAATTATAACTTTAAATGTAAATATAGTGAGTAAGCAGTAGTGGCTTGTTTATAATTGTTTTAATTTTTTTTTATATATTTACCTAAATTAAATATTACATACGAGTACATGCGAAAATAACCAAAACACCATTTAATATGACAAAAAATCTAAAGATGCAAAGTAATGCCCAAAAATATCTAATTTTTTTATGATTTAACCATACAAATTTCAGATTAATTATCTAGGTACAGTATTAAAAAATGTATAAAGTATTAATATATAGTCTAGTGCTATACAGTTATATTATGATCGAAATTACATTAAAACTATTAACATAAGTACAATTTTCAAAGACAAAGTTCTGATTATTATTGTTAGCAATTATTTTTAATTTTAATAAATAAACAAATGGCTATTCTATGAATTTATCTACTTGGTATTATTTAATTTGGATCAATTTATTAAACATAAGATAGATAAAAACTAAAAATTATACAAAATGAGTAAAAATTTGTTGTTTTATCATTTACAAGTAACAAGATGACTTAACTGTTGTACTGTTATTACATAATATTGTTCTTGTTACAATTTTAGATCTTACAATTAATAGACAATATACATAACCTTATTACCAAATTAAAGTTATTTATTGTTTATAATCAATAAATTGTTTTAAACAATTGTTGGTGACATTTTGATAATTATTTATTCAATAAAAATAACAATAAATCAAGCAGGTGCAAGATTAACGTATTTTACTAGGTAAATGTTTAAGAGCATGACAAGCTTTATGGTTCAGATACTATAATTTATTAACTATTTAACAGCTGTACACATTGTGTATTCATCAAGTGACTAGCAAGCAAAATAAAATTTTGGCTTGCATGCTTTTCAGCATTTTTATTTTGTGGGGAGCAAATTTAATCTAATTAAATTAGTCTTCCTAAAAACCATCTAGTTACCCAGAATCATTAAATATTGAATAAAAAATAAATAAAAACATTTATACATTGTTTTATTTATACTCGATTACCTACATACCAGAACTGTAGTTTTCTAGTGTTCCAAAATTTTTTTTTCGATTGAAATTTTTAGTTTACAAACTTAATAACCGCATGCGAATAATTAAAAAAACAAAACGACTAGAAAAATAAATTTCACGGTTTTTGGTAATTCGTTATTGAAATAATATGGTAAAGACGGGTTTTAATTAATTAGTGGCAAAAACATTATTTCGGCCGACGGAAATACCTAATCGTAATGCAAAATAGTGATATAGATTTTAACGTTTATATTTGTTTTTATAGCCGTAATACTTCTACAATAATTATTTTTATGTCGTGCTAAGCAATTTATATTCACTGTCCAGCAACAGAACGGTTTCTGTTGACACGATTCCGCCGTGATCGCAACATTGCTGTACTAACCTTTTTAACCTCTTGCGGTAACGCGACGGCGGTTTACGTGTTGCCGCCAAATTTGCGTTACGTTGCCTGTAAATTGGCCGATAAAAATCTGGATGTCGTGCCCGAGTCGCTGCTGATAAACGGCACCGGTACGTTTGTCGTTGGGATTCCGTTAAGGAACATGAAACTTTTTGTCAATCGAAACCAACAACAGAAAAATAATCCGGCACCTATGCTATGACAATATGGCTAGCCGTTTCCAAAGGCAGACGACTACGAGCGGCGCGGGTCGCGGGCGATAAGACGGTTGGTATCCGGATTTCAAATAAAAACAACACATACCTATATAGACTATAGTGGCGCTGGTGTCTTTGTGCGGCACACCATCGGCATTCGACAAGCGAGGATTTTGGCGGGAAACAACGTTTTGGTGGTACCGCGGCCCTTAACCACCGCACGTTGATCTGGCACGCGATTGGCGGATTTAAACGGTGGTTCCCAAATTCCGACGTTTGTATATCAGGGGAAAACACGATTGCCAGTTGCGGGTTGCCACGAACATGAGCTGCACCGATTATACTTTTACGGAAGAAATCAATTTCGAAATATAGAACGATTGAACTTGAGTAGTACGATTATAATGCCTAGGAATTAAAAAAAAAAACTATTGAGATTAGAGAATGCTCGACCATCGTAATTTCACAAGTGTCGTTATCTTTAAAAATTATACAGTATACACAACAATATTGTTCAAATTTTAAGGATCTGACCAAGATACGTCTTAAGAAGTCTCTTTAACTTGGCAGAAAAATTCTACAACTTTTTTGTAAGTAACCAACTAGTAGGTTTGTAAAACGTTAAAATGTCTGAGTTTGTAATAAAAGAAATCTTCTCTGCTCAAATTATGTTAATATGTCTTGTGAGTTGTGCTATTTGCTGTTAAATACTAATTCAAATGAGATATTATCAGAGTTGAAATTTGGAAATTATAAATAGGAAAACAGTTATATTAGAAATAATTAACTGTGTAATAACTACTAATTATGAAAAAAGGTACATTTTGTAGATGATCCGTATTGGAAGTTTGTTTTTAGTATTATTATACCGCCATAGTAAAGCAACCATTCTTTATTTCACAAAATGTTAATTTGTGATCCAACCAATGCCTTCGAACTGTCAAGTGTACAATGTACATACTTGACATTTGTAGAAAAATCACCCACCAATTAGTTTCATCATAATTGTGCTAATAAATGGACTTCATAACTTTAGTTAATTTAAGATTCTATGAAACATTGCTTGCATAGAGCTATACTTAAGAAATTTATTTTTAACTCTGAAGGGCGAGGAACATGACCAAAAAAAAAACCCTTGAGTGGTATACTATAAATAATATAATTAGAAAATTATTGGATTAAAAAAAACATAAAATACAACTATACAAGCGTGAAACTAAAATAATAAGTAACCATAATTCTCTATAATGATGTGTTGAATTATATTTAATAATCACCACTTTATAAAAAAAAAATGTAAAAGTACTTTAACCCCCATCCCTAAAGGGCCATAACAAAACAGGTTTGCTACTAACCAGCGCCCCTCAGAGTTAAGCATATTAGGAAAATTGAGTAGCAATCAATGGCAAATAATTTAAAATATGTTAATAGGTAGTTAAAAAATAAATATATAATGGATAATAATAATGTGTAAAGCAGTACAACAATAAAGTGGAATCCTAAATACGAGAACTTAAAGATACATAAAAGTTATGTTATAAATATATATACAAAAAATATTAAAATATAGCCTTTTCTTAACCATATATTTTAATATTAAAAACTAGACTAGCATAGGCCAAGGTATTAGGAATAGTACAACAGGTAAAGCCTATTGGCTATTATACATTGTAATTTGTAAGCTTGTGAATGAGAATGGGCAAGTCAAAAGTTCTATAAAAACATAATTTTGAAGAAAATTATAAAATAAAAAAAAATTAGGGCATTTGCCTGTATCATATTGTATACAAAATAAGTTGAATTTGCTTAAAAGTAATGACTTAATAAATTGGTAATTTGAATATAATAGAAAATTGTTGTAGTTATCTGTAATCGTAAACAATTAGGTATGCCACGTATATGTGGCCAATTACGTGTCGCCAATAACATCTAGTCATCAAGAGGCTGAAAGCTAAATTTTCTAATTCCAGCCTTTAAGATTGTTAGATATCACATTGTTAGTTATTTTGACTTGAGTCGTCAGCCTGGGTTGATGTACATGGTTTATCTAATGGAACAATTGGTTGCCATGCCTGGTTGTGCAATGCTTGTAAACCTAGAGTCAACTCTGAAAAATATAAATTGAATTTAATTATTAATATTGTGCTAAAATTATTCGATAATGATTATGAATAGTTGATAATAAAATATCTTACCCGAGGAAGCTGATTTTTTTCTTTTGTGGTCCTTAGAAGGGTTAAGTCGGGAAAAAGAAGTTTCTAAATCCATCTGAATTGTATTACTGTAAAAAGGACACAACATGGCAAATCAGAGTTAACATGTATGATTTAATAAAAATTTACTGGAGCTGCCTTACTCAGTTTTGGTCAGAGTGACTCCTTTTTTTGGAGAATCATTCAGTTGCATGTGAAGCGAGTACATTTCTGCTAAGTGTGACAGTTGGTCTTGTTCATTTTTTGGCATTGGGTGTAATCTAAGAGTATGAGAAGATGGTAAATTAATGGTTAAAATGTAGAAAATAAAGCAATTTACAACCTTAGTTCAGACTGAGCGGGATCTCGTAAAAATCGAGATACTTTTTCATTAGCAGACGTTAAAACAGAAAAACTGGGTTTTACAGAACGTACTCTTCTTAATCCACCACGAATTTCCCTATCACCAGCCTATGTACAAATAATTTATTATACATACAATCATAAAAATTAAACAATTATATAAGCTATAAAGGCACTTTTATTTGTTGTATTCCAGCACTTGTTGGGACACAGCTACATAGCTACTAATTAAAATATCAGTAATAATTCTAATAGAAACAAAAAAACCACTATACATACTTTTCTAGCCCATAATGGAATTCGTCCTGGTCCTCGTCCTCCTTCATTGGTAATACTATTTTGGAGACTAATAGATAATAGTTTTTGACAATCAATTTTTAAAGGTTCGTTATCGTCATCAGTTATACCTCCAGCGCCACAAGAATTACCAACCCAATCGCTCTGTTCGTCGTCACCTATTATTATATAATCAGTAATTTGTTAATATCTTAAATGCAAAAGGTAGAATTATTTTAACATTTTATTACCTTCCTGGCCTTCATCGTTAGTGAATATCCCAGCTTCGCTTTCAGATGAACTCAAACTACTCGAACTACTTGCAATGTCGATTTCCATCGCCTTAGCACTGGAAGTGCCTTGAAGACTATTAATAGTAAGAGTTTCGCGATTACTACGTTTTCTTTTACCCATGGCCAGAATTAATGACCCACAATTTCTAGACATACAACATATAACATGGTATCATTTATACAATTAGAAACGGTTAGCTGTAAGTTTAGTATAAATATTAAATATAAAGAAAAATACACATTTATATAGAATTCTCTCTCAAGTAAGCAGAGATTGTGTGTGGTATGAACAAAATTAATTAACGTAGTGGCAATCGTTCTACATCACTATCATATTTACATTATATAAAATCATTGATAAATTTTTTTTTTTTAAACATAATATGTGATTAAGCATATTTCAACAATATTAAAAGTTATTGGAGAGCTCTAATATACATACACACACACATCTATATATATTTATTGGTTGAATGTATATCATTTTTACTTCAGGCACAAATATATTTTATTATTATTGAGGACTTAAAATTAAAATTTTACTAAAATTATTAACAAGTTAAGTACTTAAGTAGTTTTGATGTTTCCATATACCTAGGCATACTGACAGAATGACGTGTTAATCTTTTTTTTTCAATACTGCTGTGTGCACAGCCACTAGCTATTCGAGAACTGAACTTGATGTCAGGATCGACTATCATTTTTTTGAACTTTCGCTTCCTATATAAATATAAATAATTATTTTTAAATTAATAAGAAACTAGTATTTTTTACATAAAGTATTACAAATTGAGATATAATAATCAATTTTACCTCCTTGTAAATGGTCGACCAGGAGTAAAGTTTTCATTAACAGAATCTGATTCTAGATTCATTATATGTTTGGAAATTAAAGCAAATGGAACTGGTTGAGGAGCACCACTTATATCGTCTGAATCGCTCTAAAAAAAATACAATTTAAAATCCATTAAACTTACTTTACTTTCCATAAAATATTAAACAAAACTTACATGGTATAAACTTGAAACGCCTACGTCTTTAGAATTACTACTTGAGTCATCACTTTGCACTTTGCTACCTGGGTATGCTACAATATTAAAATTGAATTAGATCATGAACAATTGTTACCAATCATTACCCTTACCAATACTACTGGCTGACCTAGTACGCCTTCTAAATCCTATTGGTCGAATGAATTTGTTTACTTTATCCATTCTATACTAAAAAAAAACAAACAAAATAGGATTAATTTTAAATAAATTATTTATAGAAAACAAATGTAATTTTTCACACTTTATCACAAGGAATTGAAAGAATTAAATGGAAATCAACCAGATCAACTTAATAATAAAGTATTTGGAATATTTGACCATCAGCATATCTGATTCAAATTAAGTAAGATAAAGACTTTCTTTTAAAGAACAACTAACAAGATATACCCACTAACATAAATCTTGTGCTCTCATCCTGTAAAATTGAGTATATGACTTAAGGCAACTAATCAGATCAGATATTTTTTTAAATAATATACAACAAATACTATCTTTTGAAATTGTTGTTAGTTAATCTACCACATGTTTTTTAACCATATTAGTTGAAAGCAATTTGTCTGTGATGCATAAACTCACAGTGGTGATTAATTAAAAGTGCATTATCTATATATATATATATATAAAATTCTCGTGTCACAGTGTTTGTAACAAAACTCCTCCGAAACGGCTTGACCGATTCTTATAAAATTTTGTGTGTATATTCAGTAGGTCTGAGAATAGGACATAAACTATTTTTCATACCCCTAAGTGATAAGGTGGTCCACCCCAAACATTTTTTTTATAATTATTAATAGTATCAATAGTTATCAATAAACATCTATGGTTTTTCATACCACAGGGGTACAGTGATCAGCTGATTGTGTGTCTATTCTAAAATACGGGCAACGCCGGGTTGGGACAGCTTGTATTCTATAAAACTTATTGAATATACAACTTTTTTTTTAAATTGGCGCCTGTCATTTCCATTTGATATTTCATGCTATGTAAATTCCCTTATCAAAATATATAATTTTTTAGATTTTGTACAATTAAATTTTTTTACTTCATTTTAGTTTTATCAGAATTTTAACAAAATCTCAAAATTGTATTATTAATTAATTAGGTTCATTGTCTTCAAAATAATTCTTTTTTTTTTTAAATCTAGAAATTTATGAAAGTATTTAATGGACATTGTATAAATGGCACATAAATACTTTGCCTCATAAACCTTGTAACAAACTAGTACAAGTAACAAGTACAAAGTACTTTTAAATTAGTTTTAATCCTAATAATTATTAAATTTGATGGAATGATAAAAAATGTTTATGACTTTTTACTAAAATTTGAACTCAGAATTGAATAATAATAAAGTAGGTTTTAGGGAATAGCTGGAAATATCATAATTATTAAATGCATGTTAGGTAAAATCATTGATTATAAATAATTATTTATAATAAAATATTATTATAGATATTAAAATATTAATAATAATTAAGTTATTTCATAATATTATTTACTAAAAACTCATTTGCCCAATTAACAATTCATTTTTTAAATTTATTAAAAAATACACTTTTATCTATTTAAATCAAATTTACTAATTCGGGGAACAGAAAAAGCCAAATTTTATACAAAAAAGTCATAATTATCATCAATATATTTCCAAGATTTGCTATAATTTGGTTACTATCCATATTATTTATTAAGAATGAAAAAAGTAAAATAAAAAAAAAGCATTATTTAAGCAATAATAAACAATACCTAGCACGAATACAAAATTAGTAAAATGCAATTTAATACAGATTACTTTTTTTATTACATACTTAATAGTTTAAAAAACATCTGGTTTTAGTAGTAGACCAATTGTTTGGCTGGATGGTTGAAGCTGTTGTTATAAATAAAATAATAAAAAAAACCCTTAACCATAAAAATTATGTACTCTCCGCGAATACGTCGTATTTCGGCAACAATGTTGTCATCTTCAGCAGTCACGACAGACTGTTATGTTAGTTTTTATAAATTTTGGGTTAATTATACAGGTATGTATTATTCTAATAGTTAAGAATTAAATTTGATGAACAATTTTAATTGCATTTCCCCAAAAGTGGGAAAAGGAACATGTCAGCATATGTCATCCTACCACAGAATTATTCTCTTATATTGAAGTGTAATTCAAAATTGGATTATATACCTATGTAATATATTTAAATAACTGTGGCTCAACTTTCTAAAATAGTATTTTACAAACACATTTTGAAACGTACAGCAATATACATAACTGTGACAAAACAAATGGTAGTAGGTTGATTGCGTAGGTACACATTAGTATAGCGATGAAACCAATGTCATAGGTACTTCGAATGTAAAATATCAACATGGTTATTACCTTTAAAAGACATAACGCCAAACGGTCGTGGTCATCCCGCTTCTTCTGGTTCTTTGAATCTGTGCCGACCTTATTCCACTAGAACTGTAACATCGGTAACCAAATTTTTGTTTGTAGCAGTCATGTTGACGGCGATCTATGTTATTTGATAAATGATAATACTATGGAAAGCAACAACAATAACATTCATCACTCACAAAGAAAGTTGTACCTATAGAATACCTATATGTTTTAATTGGCTACTTTTATTGTTATCTTTGTTGGTGTCGGCACAGCCACCACGAAAAATGGCAACGGTAACAGCTGCAGCTGCTACCTAGTCTTTGGAGTGGAATATCAATGTTTCTTATCAAAGCCTTGCAGCTGATTGAAGCCAAGTACTAACCCAAGTTCGATCACCCTTCGTTGAACTAACGTAGGTACATATTTTCATGACAATAAATGTAAATTTTCCATTTTGTCATGCATACAATATATAAATGCGTCTCTTTAGTATAACGTTCTCCGTTAGATAGCAGTATGGCCTTATTCTATTCAGAAAATTTATTTTTATTTTTGAAATGGCGACATTGTCGGTGCACCATTGTCGCTTCAATTTGAATCCCTAACGTCGCTATTCACTTTCATGTTTTAAGTGGAAAAAAAATGGTTGCATAGACTGCAACAACGATATTATAGCCAGTTCTAGTCCACTGCCTTCACAGAAAAAAGTAGTCTTTTTTTTCCAGTATGGCGGCCACAGGAATGATGTTTTACACACGAAAATCTCTAGAACTATGTCAGCTGATCAATGCACGTCTGTGGCAGCTATATTGGAAAAAAACGACTACGCTTTTCTGTGTAAGGAGTTATCAGACCCAGGTTCCGGACACTGATAAAAATTAACACGGGGAAGATACTTATCAAACAAAAACGCGGCGGCCATCTTCTTAAGCTACACCTACTATAATGTTTTACCTATAAATTAATTATTATTTGTTGTGTACAGATAATATTATAATACTAAATAGTCCGTCACTTATTTGTTTACATTTAAATGTGACCCTTTTGCTTTCATCTCTTCTGTGCCAGACCTGATTATAAGATCGTGACTTCAACTGCAAGCCATTCGACGGGCGGTAAGATGAGCAGCTGACGAAACTGGTAAGTGCGAACAGCTGACCTCGGCTGACTACGGTAGATGGCGTCTCGGTTGGCCGTATGGTTGCGGTTTGCCGGGACCGTACGGTTCAATGACGCGTCCGGGGCCCCGGCAGACGCCGCAGACGACGGCGGCGGCCAATGCATCAGTCGTTTCCATTGGCCCGAGCCCGTCGTTCGACGACGACAGCGAGGCGCGCAGCCAATCGGCGGGCCTGTTACGTGAAGCGTCTCCCTTCACCGCGCCCCCGGTGGCCCATCATAATTATCCCACTACACTGCCGCGTCGCCCCGAACGCGATAAGAAGAGTCTTTAAAATAAATAATAACACATATAAATACAAAAAAAAAACATATATGTATACATGTAATTGCTAGTATTTATTTACGTATGTATACAAGTAGGCTGTAGCCGATGGTGGATACACGTGTACATACGGGTCTAATTAAAAATAACAACAAAACGCCACGCCTGGCGGTCCGTTCGATAAGTTAGTGCGTGTTATCCGCATCCGACCGTGTTGCTTTATTTCTGTGCGTGCGTCGTTTTGATACAAGTCGCGTGATACGGGACCACTTCTGCACCCAGGTTCTTAGTTGTTACTCCTTGCAGTGATCGATAGTGTCGTCGTCGTCTATCATCGTCGGTGTAAGCGCCAAGCGGTATCAACTCTTGGTCGGCAATCGTTCATTGTTCAGTGTTAACTATTATTGTCATAGCCGTTGGCGGTAATCTGTGATCTGTTTGCGCGCAAAGTCGTTCAGTAATTATTGGCCGCGCCGGTGGTAACTGGTAACTGTACGCGATGTGGTGCCGCCACCGGAACTGGTGACGAACCTTATTGGTATACTGCCTAAAAAGGACATAATATTTTTCTTATGACGACTTTGCCGTTATAACTTCCAAAAGCTCAGTCGCGTCGTCCGTCCTGCACCGGGATTTTCTTCATACACCAACGCCGACCCGACGGGACCAGTTTTGTGAGTATCCATTCCCATTGTACGCTAAACAGCATTCACGTTCAATCCCTAGGCCCGTGCCGTTTTGTTATTGTTGTTGAGCTTTGACCCTTCGTGTGTGTCGTGCATAGTAGAATAATAATAATAACGCTGATAATTATTAATAGTGGGAGATATTATTGGGTCATACTCTAAAAGTGGTGACCGTGATTGATAACAATGTGCGTAGTGGTTTTAAGTCTCGCTTTTGAACACACATTTTTTTTTTTACCAACCACCAAATCATTAATTTACAATAATAGGTATCTATGTATATTTTATAATTTCCTATCTTTGTTTTTTTGTCCCTAAAGTTCTGCAAATTCAAGACAGACGACACAATACCCTGTAAGTGAACCCTGGAAAACCAGCTATTGCAAAACGATGTGGCCAATTCAATGGTGCTCTTGAATGCCAGCAACACATCACTGGCAGCATTTCGTCAAGACATGGACAGTAGTAGCGGAGCAAAACAAGCTGATAGTTGGCACAAGCATGAACAATTTATGATGGTTGAAAAACAGAAAAGCAAAAGTGAGTATATACACTTGAGTAAATATAATCTTATATATTATGGTCACCATAAACTTAAGAGTAGCTTTAAATACTTTAATTTTTTTAAAGAAAACAACATCTGTCTCAGCTTCCTTTGTTTCTGATTAATTGTATACGAGGTAGTCAAGAAAAATTACAAATTTTAATAAAATGTAATTATTTTGTAATGATTTTAATCATTTGATACATTTAGAGATACTATATGAAAAGACAATTTAGTCATTTACTTACTAGCAAGAATTAAGTAATTAAATACCTAGTAAAACTTTAAAAAAAATGTATAATCAGTTAACATATACATTAAACTATATCTAACCCATAACTTTAAAATGGTAACTTTTTTTAACCTTATATATTTAAATTAGATTTTCATTTTATCACGCATTCAATGTATAGAATTGGCAAGAGCTAATTGCTAATTGTCATAGGTAGTAGACTTTTATAACATTTTTACAATATAGTATTTCAAAAGAGACCAAATTACTATACTAAAAATTATACATTACAGTTTAATCTTTAAACTAAGATTTTGCAATTGTCTGTCTTTACTGAACTTTATGGGTATAAAGTATGATGTCTTATATAATATATGGGGGTATAATGTCTTTCTAATGTAGTATTGTTCATTTTCAGTAGTTTTATTTGAAAATAATTGTAATAATGAAATCATATTTGAGATAAATAAAACTGTATGTGATATAATAAGATTAAGGCTCACTTCAAACACTATTTTATGTTGTTTATGGATGATTTTAATTTTTAAAGAAATATTACTACACAATATTATATATACATATATTATACACTACTACACAATTTAAAGCTCAGGTTAGGCTATAACTAATAGTCAGGTGATAAACTAGTAACTTGAGCACTTAAAGAACATTTTTTATTTTATAAGTATTTCATATATACCTCAATCAGCCTAATTTACCTTGACATACTGTTAATGCATGATATTATGTGATGTTTGTAAAAAAAACAAATGTAGAATGTAATGAAAAGGGCAAGAGTAATCTGTCAGTATAAGACATTCTGTATGTTTCTTAATTTAAAACTTCTATTCACATAATATGCATACGAGTGGGCCAATAAAAAGACATGTGAATGAGATAGATTGCACAATAATAGGTATTATTCCATTGTAACAAAAAAAAAATTACTGTAATTAAGAATTCAAAGGTCAATTTTTCATTTTTTTATCTATTATCTTTTTCATTTAAATATATTTTCCTTTAGTTTAAATGTAGATCTAATTGAAGGTTGTATGTTTAATTAGTTCTTTAGCAGGCATATGGTCGGGTATTAGATGACACACTAAAAATAGTTTCACTATGTTGTGTAGAGACTATTAATAGACACGTTAATCATTCTACACGTCTGAATTCCAATTTCAACTCAAAGGAACATAGATTCTAATTATCGTTCTGCATTTTTATTCTTTTAAAAATAAATGTAGGTACCAACGGCTGTAATAACTAAGTAAATGTTATAACAGAAAATCAATTTGTATTTATTCAATTTTTATTTTAATATAAGGAAACTGGTGTATTATATCAGAGCTGTGTAAAAAAAGCCTTAAAACTCCAGTTTTAAAGAGTTATAATAATATATCATACATTAACTATTTTTCTTTTAACATTCTATAAATTACCTAGGAATAATAATATAAAATGACTAAGAAATGTAAAAATTTAAATATGAATTGTAAAGGTACTCTGCTAAAAACACCTAAATAGTATTCTTTAGAAGGACAATATTATACAAATTTGAGCTAACATCAACATTTTTGTTCTTACAGATCATGGGCAAGGGTCACAAGATAGTAATTTTGGATTTGGCGGTGGCCCCTTATACGGCAGAATTGTGGCTGAAGATCAGTTGCCAATGGTTGGCGGTGTTGGACCAATTCAAGCTGATATCCATGCAATGCAAGCCAGGATACCGCCTCATTTCCGAGATCCTTCTACGGCTCCATTAAGAAAACTTTCAGTTGACTTAATCAAGACTTACAAGTTTATTAATGAGGTATAAGAATATTTATTTATTAGACTAACTTTTGAACATATTTCTTTGACTTCCCTGTTGTCTTCTGAGCTGTAGCCTAAAATAATTAAAAATTAAAAGCAACAAAACTGAATTTCTTACATTATACACACAAATTTATATATATGTTATACATTTTAGTTTCATTTAATGTTTAAGGAATAGGTTTTTCAAAGTTTTTGTTAAACATACAATTACTTATAGTATTATTTTATTGGGTTATCAGTTTTTTTAAAAAAAATTTTTTTATCAGTGTTTAAATGTTATTTGTTGTATATTTAAATTTAATTATTTTTTAGGTTTATTATGCCAAAAAAAAGAAACGAGCTGGAGGTGGTGCTGTTGGATTGAGTAGTCAATCACAAAACAACGGTGCTCCAGTCGAAGGCCCTGCGGCTAATAAAAAAGAAAGACGAGTATACAATGATGGTCATGATGACGATAATCATGACTATATAATAAGAAGTGGAGAAAAGTTCTTAGATCGTTATGAAATTATGTCACTTTTAGGAAAAGGATCATTTGGACAAGTGAGTTACTTCTTTCATTTCACCTCATAATACAGTTATTTTATAATAATATGTTGATCTTCTTTTTAGGTTGTCAAGGCTCGTGATGAAGAAGAAGATTGTTATGTAGCAATTAAAATAATAAAGAACAAAAAACCATTCCTAAATCAAGCTCAAATTGAAGTTAGACTATTAGAAATGATGAATAGAGCTGATGTTGACAACAAATATTATATTGGTGTGTTTCAAAATATGTTATTCTATAAAATTATGTTATAATTTTAATACTGTAGTTATAATTTTTAAACATTTCTTTTTTTGCAGTTAAACTCAAACGACATTTTATGTGGCGTAATCATTTATGTCTAGTGTTTGAGTTGTTATCATATAATTTATATGACCTTATCAGGAATACTAACTTCAAAGGTGTTTCATTAAATTTAACTCGCAAATTTGCTGCTCAACTTTGCACGGCTCTGTTGTTCCTGTCCACACCGGACCTGTCCATCATACACTGTGATCTGAAACCAGAAAATATATTATTGTGCAATCCAAAACGATCGGCTATTAAAATTGTAGATTTTGGTTCGTCTTGCCAACTTGGCCAACGAGTAAGTGAACTATATTAAAATAAATTACTTAATTTCATTAAAAATTATATTTATACATTATATTTGTATTGTTTTTATTAGTACAACAGTTAGATTTTTTGAGAATCTTAACTAAGATTGTTGTTTTTGTTTAGATTTACCAATATATTCAATCACGTTTTTACCGGTCACCAGAAGTGCTACTCGGTATTCCCTATGACTTAGCAATTGATATGTGGAGTTTAGGTTGTATATTAGTAGAAATGCATACCGGAGAACCTTTGTTTAGTGGCACCAATGAGGTAAGTTTGAACCCATTTTAATAAATACAATTATTGAACTATAAACACTATTTTTGTTTGTAGGTTGATCAAATGAATAAAATAATTGAAGTTTTGGGTATGCCGCCTAAACACATTCTTGACCAAGCACAAAAAGCACATAAATATTTTGACAAAATACCTGGCAGTGACACTTATACATTAAAAAAACCTAAAGATGCAAAAAAGTATAGGAATCCTGGAGGCCGTAGATTACACGATATTCTGGGTGTAGAAACCGGAGGTCCTTACGCTAGACGACTGGGCGAACCCGGACATTCAGTATCCGATTATCTTAAATTTAAAGTTAGTGAATTTTGTGAAAAATGCTTAAATTCTTAATATCATTGCTTATGTATTATTATTTTTGTTATTAAGGATCTTATAGTACGAATGCTAGATTATGATCCAAAAACTCGTATCACACCATATTATGCTTTACAACATAATTTCTTTAAACGGACATCTGAAGAAGGTACGAATACAGCAAGTTGTATCGCTCAAGCGGGACTTCATAGTTTAGGGGCTAGTCCGCCATTCAATAGTTTACCAAATAATAATGGCCAATCGGAATCAAATTTACAGTCGGCCGGTAAGCATTTTATGATTATTTAATTCTTAATTAAAAAAAAGGGTTTAACTTTAAATGCTTCATTTTTAAGTCAATATTTTACAAGTGTATAATTAAAATTTGAATCATTTAAATTTGTAATGGTTATTATCGAACCAGTGAAATGTGTTTTTATTGCGACTAATTTGTTTTATTTATTCTAAGTTTCTTTTTTTTATTTTATTTGTTGCGTGTCTTGAAGGAAACACATTTTCTACAAATTTCTATGCACGATGACTAAAACTATGAACTTGGGTCCAACAAATTAGCTTTCAAAGAAGTGTAAGTGAATTCTTACTTTTGTGATGTGTGTTTTTATTTTTATTTTATTAAGCTATAGTTAGTTTTGATGTTCCATTTTATTTAATATTACCTATAAATAAGCCTTCCGATAATCATTGTTGCTTCAAAATTTGATTATCTGACTCATTAACTTAATTACATCACTCTTCTGCATTTTAGTTTTTGTTTGTTTGCACAGTATTGTGGTTTGATTGTAACGATTATTGTCTTATATCTATCGTAATTATACCTGTATTAAAATAAGTTAAAGTTAAATTCTAGTCCTTTCGAAAATTATAATAGTTTTTTTAAAGATAATTGTTTTTTTTTTTAATTTAACTTGATTTATAAGTACTATTTCCCTAAAAAAAATAATTTTTATAAATTGTTCTTTATAATTTGATAATTTACTTTTATTTCAACTATTATCTGATTATTAAACATTATTGAAATAGCAACCCAAATATTAATCTGTTCCAATCTATGTTTTAGCTTTGAATAAAAAAAGATATATTTTGCAACAGTACTTCTAATAAACATATAAAATACAAGCTATTTAAATTCATAGTATAATACAATCAATCTTATTACAAATAACATTTTGAAAACCCTTTAAATTTCTTCATATTGATTGGCTGATAGCCAACTAGCAAACTGTTTGGCATTTTTAACTAAGGTAATTTGTGTATAAATAACTACATCAGTTGACCAATTCATAACCCTCACAATTTTTTTAATTATAATATTATAGTGTTTTAATTTTGATTTGTAAACAATTACAACAATGTTTTCTGGGTTACTTCACTTGGCAGCCTTTTAAGTTTTAACTAACTAATTATTATCATGATTGCCATATTTCCACTGATAGATATTTTTGAGGAATCAAATGTATTTTTATAATTGGATTATAGAAACATACTTCACAATTTAGTGAAGTATCATTGTATCATTATAACTCCTTACCATTGATGTTTTTATATTTACCAAAAAAAAAAAAAAATAAAAGTATTATAAACTAACATAATTTACTAAAATTTTACATTATTTTTTAGTTAAAAAAAAAACATAATTTTGACCTCTAATAAAAACTGAAGCATTCTGTCCTTATTCCTAAACAAACACATAATTTCTTAATTTTTCAGTAGTTGTCGAATCATGTTTGTTTTTTTTTTAATTTTATTTATTTATGTAAAGTTTTGTAATTTTTACCTATTTTACAAATAATAGATTTTTATGTTATAAATAATATAGGCTTATGCAACAATACTTTTTCGATTCAATTTTAAATTGCAATATTGAACAAAAGGCATAATTTATATAGCTATAACATAAAACACATTGTATCTCAATTTATTTGCAACATGACACAATGTATAAGTTTTAATTTATTCTTTATTCAGTGTTGCTATTTTTATAATATTTTTAAAAAAAGTTATATTCCAAAACGAGTAGTTGAATAATCACCTTCTCTACCTTCTCTATTAATGTTGCTTAGTTGTTGCTGTTAGTATTCAGTTTCGCAATACTATTAAATATGTTTTTAAGTATGAGATTGTATATAAATAGTTGGTAAAAAGTTGCTTATTTTTCTGCTCATTAATAGTTAATGATTTTTTTTTTTTCAATTAGCCATAAGATTACGATCCGACCATAGTCGAGGTCGATCAACAATGGAATGTGATCCTCCACCAATTGTCTCTATGTATCACGGTTACCAAGCGATACCAACAGCCAGGCATCTACCGCCTCACCATGGGACTGTTTACCCACCAATGAATCCGGCGTCTGCTGTCAGTTCTCTGATACATTGTCGGCCTACCTCCTTGCCGTTCCTACATCCTCAGCATCACCCATATCAGCCGATACAGACGCAACCTCCTCGCTCACTGCATTCATTACACAGTCATCCGCCACCAGTGCAACAACCCGTTGCTCGGGTTCCTCCGTTGTCTCATGCAAATCGAACGAAGCAAGAACAAGATGACATGATAGGGGTATGTATAGGTCAGAGCCCGGTAGCAATAAACATAACTTGAACAAATAGAAATATAATTTAGGTGGGGTAATCATTTTTTTTGTGTATGTGGAAATCAATTTAAACTGTGATTTTTCTATTGTGGAAGAAAATGAATAATTTTTAACTACAGGTGATAGTGTTTGTTAGTTTCCATTTTGTATTGTTTTCTGTATTAACAAATTTTAATTTAACTGACGAAGCAACTAAATAAATGGTTTTAATGAAATGGTATAAACATGTGTTTAATTAAATGATGATGAAAATATATCAGACGTATAATAAGGAAGGAGACTACTATATAATAGTATTGTTTGTGAAATTACTACACTTTGCCATTTTTATCTTTGTGTATTTGCATATCTATCAAAGTTATCTCGTATAGTGTTTATTAGAAAAAGCATATTTTTAGATCAAATTATCGACAATATTTTAAATGTTCACACATTGATTGATTTTGTAACTAAAATAAATTTTCTGTACTTTTATATTTTTACCTCTATATTTTTATATAAAAGAAAATACGAGTCATTTGAAATAACTAAATATTTTCTAACTAGTAAAAATGTCACCAAATAAAATTTACTTATACAAATTATTATAAAAAAAAACTATATATTATTTTTAAATTTATTTTTTGTTATTTTCTAAAATAGGAAATAACACAATGTTAACATGAACAAGATAACTATGAATTGTGTTTTTACGAGAAAAAAATATTAATTAAAAAATAATGGTGCTTTAACATTGATTTTATATTGGTGGCATTTAGTTCTTATTATTTCTCGGATTTTTTTTTTTTTTTACTTGCATATTAGATAAAAATGGCTTGGTGCTAAAAGCGAAATCATCTCAATCATTTTTATATATTGAATATTTTTACTATTACCAAAAAGCGCTCATGTTAATTTGGGTGTTTGAAAAATAAACATATTTTTTTATTTATATTTATATGTTTGAGTTTGTGTGTGAGTGTGTCTATATGTACATGTACTTATACATATGTACTGTGTGATCCAATTCTTGTACAATAATTGTTATCTCGGATAATAGTTCTTGATTCTGTTATATTTTACTACTTGTTTTGTCCCTTATATTTGTTATCAAAGGAATCATTTATGATTTACACAAATTGATCTGATAAAAATACAGAAAAAGTGTATAAAAAAAAAAAAATTATAGAGCATTATTCTTAATTTGGTATACAATTCTGCCTACAGTTTTACTATTGTCGATATCCAAAGTAGTTATTATTTAAAATTGGTTAGTGATTTGTCAATTTTTTTAAGCAAATGATTCTTATTAAATTTATCGTAATTATTGTGCCAATTTAATATTATATTTCATAAGTCAGTTGAGCTCGAAAAACACCTCCCAAAAGGTAATCGGTGTGATTACATTAAATGGATCATACGGTACATGTATGTTACGTATGCATATATAAACCTGTGTATGAGGGTGTAATTGAATAGAATTGTATTATTGTGTCTTCCTGGACTATTATCCTGGTGTTTCTTTACTCTAGTTCATACACAATCAAATGATAATAATATGAGGACACACAGGCACTGTAAAATCATAAGAGATAATTTTATTTATGCAATGCCACTGCCATGTGAAAAACACATCTTTCGACATTTTTGTTACTTATTCATTTTGTATTATAAAATTGTGCAATTAGGAAACGGAAAAATGTTGTATTGTTTTACACAAGAAATTATGCGGTTCCTTGTGTTAAGTAAAATAGGTAGTTAAATTAAGTTCCGACATAGACGTTGAGGTAGCCCTTTTTTATGGGCATGTATAATAAACATTGGAATGATATAAATATTGTGATAGTACAGGGTGTAATATCCTTTTATATTATTTTGTTTATATTCTAAGATCATTTAATTGATTTATATTATAATTTTTTTTTTTTTAAATTAAAGACTGTTGTGTATATAAATTAGATATATGTATGTGATGTTCATTAAATAATATTAAAAATATAATAGAAAAATTTGTATTTATTTATTTTTCCAATATTTATGTGAAGTTATCGCTCTCTTTTTTTATTCAGTTGTCAGAATTAATTCAATGCAAAATATAATAAATATAATATGTGTATTTATCATAAAATAGTCAAGTTATCTTTACTCTAATACTAATTAATAATATTATTTATGGTTTTTAAAATGTATGTTGACGTAAACAGTTGTTTCTTCTAGGATTCAACTAATTTTAGTTTTTTTTACATTTCATGTGCGGGTTATCACCCTAAGTGATAACCCGACTTTTACAAGTGGCTCAAAATCAGGATGAAATTGTCGTTGATGTATTGTAAATTATGTTTTAGTACAGCATATAAAACAGTTTTAATTGGTATTTGGGGCTAATTGTCCAAAAATAAGAATTAGTTTCTTTTTTATTTGAAACTTTAATTTTAAAAATATGAATAACCCCCTAAAATATATTGTAGAGTAATTGCACCGCTGTACTAAAAATCATATAACAACTCCCTTGTTTTTAGTAGATTAGAGCATATTATATTATTTGACGTGGAAGAAATCTAAAGACATCTTAAAAATAATGTGTAATGTGTGCTACCAGAAGGATAATTAAAAAAAAAATAATATTTATGAATTAAAGTTATTAGTGATTAGGTTAGGAAAAAAAATAAAGCTTAAATTTAATAAGTGTATACACAATATTGAGAAGCGAATCATAGTATCAACAAAAAGTAAAAAGGCTTTCGTGTAGTGCAGAGTAGAATTTTCATACCATTCCTTAAATTTGTTTTAAACTACTATTGAAAATCCGGTGACATGTTTTTTTAAAAATAAATGCCAGTATACAGGGTGATCCATTTGGGGATAATTTTCTCTCAAAATAATTGCAATTTTGTAGTTTTTCTTTTTGGAGACACCTTCGGTACTTAATATGATTTTAAATAATTAGATAATATTCATATATTTTTTTCTAGAGCTCTATTAATTTTTAAAACTTGAATTGTAACGTATACATTAAATTTACTTTTTAAGTATGTAAAAGAGTAGTCTGCTGAAAAATGTGACTGGTCGATGAATCATTTTAGCATAATTACTTTTAATGTTATTTAAGAACAAAATTTAGCAAGGGTGGAGTGTAGTGTTATTTTTATCTGCTCGCATTACTGTACCGCACTCCACCTACCGTCATTGATTTTGAACTCTAATAACTTTAAAGTAATTATCCAAAATTAGTTATCGACCAGTCAAAATGTTCGGCAAATTATTCTTAATCTGAAAAGTTAATTAAATATAATATTATAACTTACTAAGTTTCAATAGTTGATAGCGCTATGGAAAACACTGAAATAGGTAGATATTTGGCAATTTTAGAAATATTGTACAATAACACAAATAAAAATGTATTAAAAAAAAACGCAAAATACTTACATTTTGTTTGTCGGTATAATAAACAAATATCATCGAAGTATGAATGTTTTTCGATTATATTGATCGACACTAGACATACATAATATTTAGTAAAAAAAACATGGGATTTTGTTGACTTAGGTATATGTAATTTGTTATAGTAAAATCATTTTTGAAATGTTTGTACTCGGGCATTTTACCGAAGTCAAAAACAAACAAGTGCGACGTCTGAACCTTTGAAATCTTGGAATCGTGGTCCATCGAAAGCGAAATCTTTATTCATTGTGTACTGTTCTCGAGAAGGACCGGATATTTTTTTAACGATATATTGTTATTTTAGTTTTTTTCAACTTCTATAACGTACACGCTGAATAATAATTATGTTTTGTCGACGACCATAGGGTATATTATATTATATGTTATTTTCATATACAGGGCGATAATTTTATCGTGAACCACTCAATATCTCATAGGGTGTAATGAGAAATAAAATTTTTTTTTTCATAATGTTTTTATACAATGTGATCTAAAATGTCCACAATTTTTGTTTTTGTTTTTACCTCATTGCAAAACTACAAAAAAATGTCATTTCTTAAACCCTACGAGATATTGAGTGGTTCGCAAAAAAATGATCACCCTATATAGATAATCATTGATAGACACATACATTTTTTTTTTAACATATGTGATTCGACAAATTTCAACAATATTGAAAGTTATTGCAGTCTGGAGACCTCTAATACACACATACACACGTATATGTTTATTTTTTTATTGGTTGAATGTATATCACCCTGTACATATTATATATTATTCCGGTATATTCGTTGTGTATTTCGTATATTAAATGGCCGCATATACTTGGGCACCGACTCGTTGTTTATAAACATTTCTCGTATTTTATTATATTGTTTGTGTGTTTTGTGTCGCCGTTTTTCGGTTGTTAAACTTCGACAGCGAGTAGGTGAAGGGCGACGAGCAGACAAGAAGAGGCGAGAGAGCTAAATGTTTATACAACCCCGCTGTAGCCGCCTCCGGCTATAATATTATGAACCCTCGTCAAAACCTCATTCATCAACATTTTTATCAAATATTCATAAACTCCCGAGTCAACCGACGCCGGTGGTTTTATACGAATTCACCCCAATTCTTTTTTTTCTTTTTTTTTTATGTATTTCATTTACCGTTTATTACATTAGACACGTCGTCGTTTTATATCATTTCATATTTTTTCATTTTTTTTTCACCCTCCTTCTCTCCCTTGTCCCCCCCTCCAAATTAATGCACATTGTTATTATTATAAACTCTTATAGCCGTTTAACGATTCTAGTCGTTATTATTATTATGTTAACTATATTATGTTTGTTTTCTATATAAATGCGCAACGACGTTTTAATCGTTAAAAATGCAAGATTTAATTTAAAAAAAAAACCGTACATATTTGTATTGTTCGCGGAAAGTAGACTGAATATTAACAATATTAATAAAGTATAAAATTTGTTCTGATTTTTAAAAAAAAAATTTTAAAAATGAGGAAAACATAGCAAGTCGACTAACACGATCATTGTCCTATGAAAAAATAAAAATTCATATTGAATAATTTTTTTACCATCGACAGTTTCGCATCGAAGCGTCCATAAATGGAAGTGAATATATCGCTTTAGTTATACATATAATTCCTGAACATTGTCGAGACCTCTCCGACTCCACAGTGCTAGCTTTTACTTATAAAAAAGTTAATTTTACTATTATAGTTTTTTTTTTAAATGATCGCAATCTCATATATATATATATACATGAACTATAAATTAGGTACCTATATATATATATATAGGAGAATCACTGGTTAGGTGTAAAAATGTAAAAAATATAACACAGTCCAAATACTACAGTCAATTGGGGTTGAGCTGTATTTTTCAGGTAACAGTATTGTTAATAAAGTTGGCGTTTGAAATGAATAGGTACAATTCAAACACACGTTGGTAAATATCATCATTTGACGGTGTGCCGGTGAACGGTTCTGAGTTTTCTCAAATTTGCCAGCGTCGTCGCGTCGTTCGGTTGTAACCGCAAGGCAGACTTGTAAGAACGTTCGGCTTCTTCAAACTTCTCGTTGATATGCAATATGGCACCCAAATTGCTATGGCTCGCCGCGTCCTGCAAACGAATACAAATGAACGGGATCAGATTAAAAAATAATTTATTATAATCATATTTGTTCTACAGGAAACATTGGACTGCGAAGAGTACAGAGTGTGTGTATTATAGTAAATAGTCGTTTCTATCCAAAGTAGGTACAGTGGCTGATTAAGAGGGAAGGAAGAAGGGGTGCTTGTTAGAAAAGTATTACTTTTGTTTTTTCGGTTGAATATCACCATGGATTTACACGTAATATAAGGAGGCAATAAAGGGACAACATGATATTGTCATTTATCTTTATAGAAAGTAGGTAACAAAATACTGCTTAATGTATTTAAGTGCAATAAAATCACCTCCGCAGCACAAATCCTGCGGTCCCGCCTCTACGTATAACGCTGTATATTATGTATTTTTTTTTATAAATCTAGTTTCAACACTCGAACAAAGATAAAAAAAAGAACCCTGACAACAGTACAGGCGTTTTGTGAGTCGGACACACGTTACATGAGAGGGTATTCTCCGGTTTTTCGTGTCTCATTACTTATCAAAGTTTCGTGGCGAGAGTTGTCTTTTCAAAGAGGATGAGACCATTTTGGGGTCGGTAACACAGTCTTTTGTCGAGCGCAAAAACTTTGAACGGCCATAATTCGCGAACCGCCCGTTTGAAATATTTTATATCTTCTTGTATTGCACTGTTTTGTAATCCGCATTGCCACTGTGTAGTTTCCCACTAATGCCCCGGACACATTTTGTCACTGTATGAAGAGGAAACTTTGGCATTATCATTATTCCGTCGTCTCTTTCGGCTTTAGAATATTATTAATCTTGATTAAGCACATTTAAGGCATTTCATTTGGCCGCAGACGACCGTGTACTTGATACTATAGTAATAATAATAATAATATTATGCCAACGCTTCTTTCCCGTCACAATATTGTGCGTGGAGTAAAAAAAAAATTCCTTCACACTAACTAATTGACCGTCTGGCATTTATAGTTGAACTTTTAAACGGTTGTAAATATCGTTTATCGTATCGATACAATCGACTGAGACAATAAACAGCATACATATATCAACCTACAAGTTTACTGTCAACGAAGTAATTTTATATTTTAATACTTTTTATTATGCACAGTTTTGCACTGAAACGTTTATTCGTAAATGATTTCGTCACTTTCAACTATAATAATTCCTGTAGACCCTTGACCTACGGGTGCCAATTATTATTATTTGTCTCACCTATGCCTCGACCACATTGTGCTGGCTTTTTACTATTGTACAAATTAATTACTAGTGTTTATTTAACTTAAATACACGTATCTGTTTTATACTGCCAAAATCTGATACAATTAAGAACTCACTGAAATAAAGTTGATTTATTGTCGGCACATAATTTCGAATATTGTCACAGTTCATTAATCACCGACACGGCATTTGTAAATTGACCGTTTTTCACCAATGATTTTTTCTTTGCGTTAAATATTAAATGCATAATTCTTATTTGTCCAGTAGCGTCTCTATAGGTTTTTTACTGTTTAAAGAAGAATAAAAAAATGTAAAGAACATGTCTGTAATTTGAAATTTTATCACATGTAAAATTATAATTTTATTTTTTTGGTACATTCTCATTCTTAGAGCTCTATAATTTAGATGGCCCGTAGCTAAACACTGAGTTTGTTGTAAGTAAATTGAGATTTCGAGAAAGCACTCATTCCCATGCGGGTACCGAACGAAAAGCTATATCGCCTTAGGATCAGGTGTTGTTCAAAGTAAGACAAATAGTAAGTTACAAGTCATGTCTTGCTCGTTTTTGGCATAGAAAACTATTTGGTATATAGTACTGCAGTTGTTCTATTTGTCTTAACCTTAGAAAACTTTTGCTTACCTAATTAGCGTTAAATTATACAATTGTTTTATTGCCGCAGATGTAAACCGTATTTCGGGCAGCTATTAATAAGACTGATTGAAAACATTTAGTTTACTTGCCTCCGGATACAGTTGCACGGTTCTTCTATAGTAGAATTCAGATTCAACCGTTCGGCCGGACATTCGTAAGGCCGTGGCTGTCTTAACTGCAATTTCGTGGTCGCCGGGTGCTAAGGTAGCAGCGGCTTTGTATTGTTCTACCGACTCTTCGGTTCTGCCCATGACCGCAAGGAACTGGGCATACCTCACACGAACAGTTGCATCGTCTGGTGCTGTCCGATGTGCCTTCTTGTACAATTCTTCTGCTTCGGACACTCGAGACCTCTGCAAAAGCATAACATTTTGATTTTCCTGGATCGTTTATAAAAAGTATGTTTCACTCTTTATAATATGGCTGCAGGATTGACGGGATAATTTAATATAGGGTGGCTTAGTAGGCCGCAACGGTGTAATTGTTAAATACATTTTGTCCGAAGTGATAAAATCCAACAGGTAGCAGTTTAGATTTATATGAAATTAGTTAATCTTTTTACATTATATATATATGTATATATGTATTATGTATATTAGAATGTGCCTAATATATTTGTTTTTACTTTAACATCCCCCCCTCCCGCACCAATCTATTCAAATAAGAAATCCCTAACATTTCAGATCCTTATAGCTTAAGTATAGCACGCTTACTCGTGATTTTTTTTTTTGCATTTGATAAGCTATCGGAAATTTTTTCTTAAAAACCAAAAAATTCAAAAAACGAATGAAAACGTTTACAATTAAAAAAAAGATACTTTAAGCTGAAATATGACAAGACACTTCAAAATAGCTCTCCTGATATTTCATGATAAAAATGTTTTTTTTTATCAAGTTACAGTCTAAACTGATAACTAACTTGCTAAAAAAATTACCACGAAATAAAAAAGAAGGATTTTCATGCGTCATACTTCATAAGAATCTTTTATCTGTTTTAAAAATATTCGATAAGTTTCTCAGTTAGAAATTTTTTAATGGAAAATAAAAATGTCCAATGTTAATCAAATACAAAAAAAAAACTATTAGAAAGTACTTAAGAGTTGAGCTAGAAACCTGAATTTTTAGTGATTTTTTCTTTAAATAGGCTACTATCGATAGAAAGGAATTAAAAAAAAAAAATTTCTACTTAATATATCTATAGGAAAATTTGTATAAATTGTGTATCTGCTTTCAAACTACATCTGTTTGATTTAAATTTAAAAATTAATTATTTTTGGAACTTTGGTAAAAACAAAAATCTCTAAAAAGCATACATTTAGAACTATTTTACACTTTTAATCCCATTAGTTGAATATAAAAATCATGTTACAAATTATTTAATTATATTTTATCAATATTATCGAATTAAAAACTAAAAAAGATTCGTCGAATTTGTTTTTACTAAAAAAACTGGTATAAACTAGCATGAAGATTAACTGATTATATAATTTATCATTGTCCTGTATATTATATATAAAACATATGTTATACAATTTAGTCGATGTGAAGCCTCTTCCCCAAAAATATATATATAATTTTTTAAATCGATTATTTCTTTAAAAACTCTTTCTGTTCTCAATCTTATGTTTAACAAACTACATCTACAGGGAATTGATTTTAGAGAAAAAAAAATGTTTTCTTGCACTTGAACGCGTTTCAGATACAACTCATCACCAAAAAACAATTATGTTAAACAGCTGCATATTTTAGCATCAATATATTACCACCAACGCGATACTGACATTTCATGGGCGTTTTGTTTGTATATTTACATTCTTGAGCGGAAAGGTCTTCTATATAATAACATTAATGCATATTGAATTTTAAGCACGACTTTCAACAGCTACTATGGGAGGCTATATTTATAGCGTTACAATTACTTATTGCGGACTGAACCGTCTCGTCTAACGTTAAACGATTGAATAACGTTAAACAATATTTAAACGGGGGTTTTTTTTTTTGGATAGGAATAACGAATTACCAGCAACGACAGCAGTAACAAAGAAATATAGACTTACATTTTTAGCCAATAGATCACCATACGTCAAGAAGGTGGAAACGTCTGTTGGGTTGGATCTGAGTAACTGTCTGTAGTATTTCTCCGCATCAGTGTCCCTCCTAAGTGCCGATAACGAATCTGCAAGAGCCAACATCATTATCTGCAATCAAACATAACGTATCGGTTAGTATTATACTATGAAATTACTGGTGGTCGATTTTAATGATGTAAAAAATAAATTCCTCAGCTTAAGCAGTATCTGGTGTTATAATTTAATTTTTTTGGTTAACACAATATTTCAAGAGAACAACAAGGGAAAAAATGTATATTAAAAGTACAGTTCAAGTTATGAGATGTAATCTACTCTGAAGTCTAGACAATTCAATAATCAGCGAAATGTTTCTTGGTAAAATAAATTTATTTTCTATAGTCATCTTGGACAGCGGCGAAGTTTGACAGTCACAAACAAACTGAATACAAATAATCAAACAAATACAGTTATATAACTGACAATAAACATTAAATGTTTAAATTAAGATGCCTGCCAGAAAGACTAAATAGAATTTATATACAATAATTTTGCGTGTTAAAGTTAACCTATAAAAGGCGTTCCCGTCGCCCTTTTCGAAGTTCAAGGGAGATTAAAAGTAGACATGTGATTTTGAAACACGTTATCTATAGGTGAACCTAAGTTGAACACAAACTGTGTTAAACAAAGGTCGCTGTAGTTATCCTTACACGCCTATACCACACAATCCTTGTATGCTTAAAGGATTAAAATAAGTTTTCTGATCACATGTATACACAGCAAACAAACTTACACGGCGCATGTACGAGACACCGTTGGAATTACCTCAGAATGTTCGTTTGGATAATATAAAAATATGATTATTCGCTTTGTTTGTTGCGAATCGTGAAGTTAATTATGTATATATTTGTATATTTTGCATACAGATAAAATGGATTTCATTAAAAAAGATTATATAAAATATTATGAATGCAAAGAGCGATTTTAATTAAAAATTAAATTATGAAAAAAAGCAGACAACTTAATTATGCAACGTATAATTTATTTCCGGGTTTTAATTAGATAGTACTTATAATTTGTATAGGGCTTTTATTATTGCCATAGCATTCGTCAACATCACGGTTGTATAGCTTGTCGTTCATACAGTGTCTCCAGTTGTAAACGAGATGTTTCAGGTATAGACTATCTAATTGGAATTCAACGTGTGGCCGACCTTCGATTGGTTGCTATTTTCATGACTTTCAACTTAAACCCTTAACTTGACATTGTATCTTTAAAGATGCACATATATTTTTTCCATGGCTAAACTAAAGAGTAGTATTATTTTTATTATTTTTGATATTTGTGTTAAAACTGAGAGCGGCTATGTATTACACCTACAGGTGTTCGACATACATACACATATTATGTACCCGTGGGAACAATAGTTAAGCCACTTAGCTATCCGACAAAGGACCCGATCGTGCGGAACTCGTGGATTTTTGGTTGTAATGTTATTTTAAATACAATAATATATATTTTTTGGGTGAATTTTGGCGAACGCGCTTGTGTCGAAAAAGCAATTATGAAAACCACATTACAGTAACGACTCGCATTATTTAATATAATATAATATACATTATAACAAAAACGCATTATATGTCATTTATAAATGGAAAATGTTTCCCTCTTGTCGCGGCACCATCATGTTATATATTATTATATAATAGGGTTTTATTTATTTTACAATGATAAGTAATGTACGACGGTGGCGACAGTTGTATTATGTTCGGAGCACGTATAGGATTTTAAGATATTTAAATTTCAAAAGAACTTCAACACGCGTGTAAAACATAATATATTTTTTTTTTAAATATTTTTTTATTGTTTGGGCGGCGGCTTATTGTTTTCACCGTAGTACCTATGTAGACGCACATATAATAATAGCAGAAGGTGCTCGAGCACGAGTTTTGATCTATACCCGAAGTGCCCGAGGGAAAATAAGGAGACATAAAAATGAAAACACTTTTCTAGCATTGTTTTTGGAGTGAACTTTCGAGACAGTCGTTGTGTGAAAACTCAATGACGCTCTTAACATCCACTTGGCCTTGTTTTCAGAAACTAACGGAGTGGGGAAAAAATGTTTTGATTAATTGCTGCAAGTCGCAAGCTTTTGTTAGACGTCTTTATTAAAAATCCTCGGGTTATTGTTATCCTAAAACTTTAGGGGTCGGCCGGTTATTTTTTAATTATTAATAAAAACAACGCTTTAGGGGAAGAAATTCCGGAGGAGAAAGGGAGGAGACGCCTTCTTTTCTTTTGCAGACAAACAAAATACGGATCGCAAGACAGAGGTGTCATTAAAACACGTTTTAAAGAATGGTCTCGAACCCGCAAACTGGCATTAAGAGAAATGCAAAAATACAATTGGTTCATTCAATTAGTTTACTCCCCATACACCTTCTCCGACAAAGCACTATTTTAAAAACGATGGCTTTTAAACACTAGCCCACAATAGTTGTATGTTTGTTTTAGTAATGTATGTTATCTGTTTGATATTCATTTCAAATACGAAGTAGTTACAACCAAAAGTACATAATATATTATAATAATGAATATTTATTTTACAGTGAACGAGTTAGGCAACCAGTGTCAAAGCGGTTACAAGTGTAATAATATTGCCTAACTGTATCGCCGTCATGGTATTAAACATTTACTCGTGTTAGTCATACTATTGAAAATTATTGCAATAATGTATGTAAATACTAGCTGAGTTTACACGGCTTCGCGCTGGTTAAATGTTATGATTAATTTAATTTAGAATAATAAACTGGTGTATAGGTTTACCTATAACGTTTCGATAGGTATGTAAAAATATATTATAACTCATTTGGCAGTCTGACCCTAAACCGCAGGCCCAGCCGTGTAGCTTTGCATAAAAAATATATACTAGTACAAAACAAAAATAACGATTTCAAGGGTCGTCGTAATTCTTCATTATTTACCACTTTATCATTATGTCGTTTAAAAATCGAGCTGATGGTATTATAATAAGTCAGAGAGTAGAATTTGTATAAAAATGATTTAGAGATTTTGTTGAATTTTTGTCAGAGATCCTAAAAAAATGTTTAGATTCTGAAAAGATATAATTAATTAATTATTTTTTTTCATAATAATAATAAAACAAGCCTAATGCTTATAAAGTAGTAACTAAAACAACTAAATAAAAAAAAATATATATCCAATATTATAAAATAATAATAATAAAAATTACAGTTAGAATATATTTTTCTATATATCATGTACATTTGCTGTAAGTTAGCAGCATTTAAACTATTGTTGTTACTGGTTACATTAAATATACAATTTGTGTAGTTATTACTATAATATTTACTAATTGTGTACGGTTCGATTAATTTCATTTTTGGTGCTTTTCAATAAAATATTAAGCGGTTCGGTTATTTAACTGTAAAGGGCTTTTATATGTTATTTGATCAAATAAATGTATTATTTTACATTTAAGAATAAAGTAATGCGTTTTTCAGTATCAGAAATATTGTTTTTATTAGAATATAAATAAATCAGTTTTAAAGGGAATCAGATAAAAATAACATTTATTAAGAAGCGGCTGAAATGATTTTTTTTATAGATTATTGAGTCAACTGCAAACAAAAAATCAATGATGTTTATATTATACGCTCCAGTTAAAAGTTGCAACAATTAAAAATTACAAAAAAAAATATTATTAGCTTAAAATTACTTTCTATAAAAGCTTTCTGTAAGACTGTTACTTTAGGATAATTATTATTTTTAGCAGTTTAAAACCAATAAGATTTAAACCCACTCCAAATTTTAAAGGAAATAATATTTAAAACTGAAAACAATTTGTCCTCGCAATCATTCATTTTTTTTCCATCATCAAATCAGATTTTATATTAGATGATATTAACACAAATTATTTTTACCTATACTCTTTACTCTATTATACTCTAATCGAAACAATGGACGTTTGAATTTGCACTAAAATATTAAAGGAGCAACGTGTGTCGTTTTTTTAATAAGTTTAAGAAATTCAACTATTTTTTAGTTAATATAAATGATTTTAATGATAAATAATAATGAGACTGACATATATGGTGTTTTTGTTTTTTAATACAAGTAAGAATTTTTTTTTTAAGGTCAGGTCGTTAATTGATAAACGGGCACGTACAAAAGTCGAAGAGAAAAAATATATTTAATTACGTCTTTCATTAGTTATCCGGTGATCAGAAAACCGCCATCGGGTCGAACTCACTATATGTAATATTGTTGTCACACGAAAGCAATCGGATTAGGCCTTGTTTGATACACATGTGCCACCGCACCGTGCAGACTATAATAATATCCACTACCCTTTGCAAAGCCCTATCTCTGTATACTGCGCTGTGTACCTATATATTCCCTTCTTTACACACTCCGATACGATGAATAGACGCATCATTTTGATCCTTTAACCTCCCCATTTCTCCTTCCGCACCCCGTTTTACCCTTCTTGTGTGTGTGTATACATATATATATATATATATATATATAGGCTAGTGCTGCGGTTTTGATACATACACAGTTTCCCGCCGTAGATGTATGCTTATACGCTATACTAAACATACGCTATACATATAAACAAGAGTTCATAAATTATTCGGTCTTTACTTTATGTCCAATATGGGCGGCCCGAAAGAGGTTTTAACACTTTGTCGCGGCTTTTCCCACACGTGTCGATAGGTACCTCAAGCCGCTTTATAATCCTTAGTTCCAAAGAAAGTCTTTTTTACCAATACCTTTCTACTCGTTACTATTGAAAAAACATCGGTAGCTTTTTTTTCCCTTTATTTTCTTTTTTACCTTAATACCGTATAGAACCTTTCTATGGTACTACTACGTCGAATATTCGATCAAAAGGTACGCGCGAATTCGGATTGAACTTTTGAGGTGTCGAAGTCCCTAGTGTGCTTCACCGCGGTATTCTACTAAAAAGAAACCCTAGTTAAGTATTTGAATATAAAAAGAAAAACTGTTATAATAATGAAAAAAAAAAAAATAAACTGTATAATAATAATACAAATAATAAGTCAACTGTATAATAATGAAATAGGTTATTTTTTTCTTATAATTGAACCAAAGTAAAATAATTAAATACGGAATTGTTCTAGGTAAATGAAAATAAAAACTTAGAAAGAATTTCAGTCGAATATAAACATTTTTTTTTTTTAAATAATACACTATGTATTCAAATTGTTTTGGACAAAAATGACTTTCGACACCTAACATCTAGTCTACGGTGGTTTATTATGGTGTTTTATACAACTGGGGGTATCTATTTTAACGTTAATTGAAGGTTCCGGTCTATCTCCATATAAAAAAATGCGTTTTGTAATATCTTTGTATGTAATTATACGATTTTACTGTGTTTGATACACAAAAATATAAATCATTTTTCCACGAATAATGGTCTTAGAAAAAATAATGTTTGATAAAAAGTGGAGATAGCCATGGTTCTTGCACCGGACCCTTAAATTTCCGTTCGATTTTGCTTATAATTTCGCCGAAAAATGTTTTGTGTATTGGTCTTTTGGACAATGGTATCAAGCTTTTTAAGAGATGGGGAAAAGTTAATTAATTTAATGTTTTTTTTTCATTCGTAAATGGTATTTTCGATAATTAAATTGCCAGAAACGTTAGTACAATTTTATTTACGCCACGGCGGAAAACGAACAAAAATCGGGAGTTTGTGATTCATTGTGCGGTTTCGAGAAACAACAAAGTGTACGCAATATATACAAACAGCAATATACACTACACATTTTTTCTTGGGAGTTTTCAATTTTCTTAATAACCGTTTAGTCACCGGGGACCCTGAGAGAAATAATTCAAGGCTTGCGCCATAACAATATAATAACGTCTGGCAACGGCGAACGGCGGTGGCGGTCATCGCGTTGCCAGTCCTGAGGGAGACTTAACTTTTACACAGGTACATAATTTATATTGATATAATATGTTTGTTTGTGTTTATTTGTACGTGGAAACATCATATATTAATACATTTCTAGCCGGCGCTGGGCATTGTACGGGATATAAATTAAAATTTCCGCCTTCTAAACTCAATGCGAAGATGTGTATGTGTATAATATATATGTGCATGTATGTATACGTCATATACATTGAAAAGCTCGAGATGGCGTGTAATGAGAATTCGTCGTCGGATCTCGTCTTTATTTCGTTATTGTACGGTACCTAGTCAACCGAGACTTCAAAATACTGAGATTATTACGCCGAGCAAACCCTTTAAGTAAGACCGAGAATAAAATCCGTTCCCTGAATCCCAACGCAATAACCGCGGCTTATAATGTTCCACCGATATTATTGCGAGACATCTCTATATAAAAATATAATATTATATTACTTGCCTAAGAGTACCTACTGCCGAAATTATTGTCAGTGTGTGTGTGATTTGATGAGAGAGTAAAACATTATTGAACATCTATAACATGCCTAATGTGACAAAAGTAAACACTAAAATTATTATTAGGTAGGTACGCCGAGCCATAATGATAAATAATATTATCATACTTGTATGATATTTTTGGAAAAATTTCAACTAATATTATTACCGTATACGCAAAAACCGCAAACAGCTTTTATTTAAATTTTAGAACGAGTAACATCGTTACTGAAAAAAAAAACCTATTTATGAATCTATTCAGCAAATTATGAATATGTTATCTCTTATCACTTATCGTTTTCTGTTATCTATTATCTCTTATCTCTAAATAAAAGTGAATATGTAACGCGAAAATAGCGAAATAAAATTCCTTGTATCCAGCCCAATAACATGTAATCCATGTTAACAATTCGTAAATATTTATAGGAAAATATATTAATACGACCAATAAGTCAATCGATACAGTTAGTAAGGCAGCGAATAATATAACAATAAAATATATTAATAGACATTATTTTAATGGTTGTCCAACCTTACTCGTAGACTCCCAGCTTAAGTGTCATATTTTCAATGATTGCCGACACAGAAGAATGGGACGCTATTTTGGAAAACTTATAGTTCCATCGTTTAGTTTAATTGTTCTTCCTATCATTACCATGTGATGCTCGTCCAGTTTCAAAACCAACTAAAAATCATTTTGAAAACGTTTTAAGTGGCCACACTGTATTACATGGTATGTAAAACCATTATTGAATATCAAATAAAGATTATAACTAACTCAAACTGCGTTAGTTGGTTTCAAATCGCCCATCCGAAGACATTATTTGTTGTTTGTGAACATTTCCAAAAATTGCTTTTAACTGATTTGAAACTAGACGTCTCGTGTATATGGTAACGTCATGAACGTTCCAGACTGAAGGAGAGAATAAAGATGAAAAATGTCAGAGCGCTTGTTTTCTTTAAAAAAAGTTGTTGCGATTAGATACTTACGGGCAAGGATATTTTTACCATTAAATATTACATCGGCGGTTGGTTATTTTTACTCTGACATATTTATCTTTATTCATAAAAAAAAAAATACAATAAATACATGACATCCAGGAAACAAATTTTAGGATGTTGACTATGATGTTGAATTTATAGCGGTCCTTGCTTGGTGGTGGTTTTAAAAGTTTATTTTTATTTTTAATAGTAAAAGCCACTGTTAAATGCTAGGACCATGACCGATGTAAGAGTTATAAATTGTATACTTATTTAATACCTGTGAAGAAGTTTCGCTAATGTCAATGGCCGACTCGAAAACAGCCACCGCTTCGTCGTGTTTGCCCATTTCTGCAAACATTCTACCCAATCGTAGCACGCAAGACTTTTGAGCCTTTACGTGAGATCGAATATCTTTTACGGTCGAACCGTCCAGCGCTAAGCACCTTTTCAAAACATCTTCAGCCTCTGCGGTTTTGCCGGTAACGGCCAAGCAATCTCCCAGGCTCAGGTAAGCCACTAGAACATTGAAAAGCCAATGGGTTTTGTTATATGTACTTGCAAATAATATTGTAATATTAAAGTTTTACTGTAGACCACTCACGTGCTAGCGTAGGTCTGAAGGCGATGGCCGACTTGTAGCTGCAAATGGCTTCCTCGTACTTTTTACTATTTCGCAGCAAGTTGCCCCTTAACAAATAAATAAAATTGAAAACGGCTAAACAATGATTGCAATAGTATTTTTTTTTCGTAAACATTTAGTACGGTTAGGTTATACGGGAAAGTGTAGGGCATTGAATAAAAAAACATGAAAGGGAGATTGAAGTGGTTTATGTGAGAATATTCTGCTGTAAATATGAAGACGACCATGTTGGATAGGACAAAAAGTATGTATACAATAACTAATATATAAAACGAGTAAGAGAAATGAGTGTCAAGTGATTATTTAGTTAGACAGGTGGACTGAAGAAAACCAAAAAGATGTTATAAAATATAAAAAGATAAGGTACGATGTGCCTGTATAGAGAAACGGGAATAACGCTGAAAAAGAATGGAGAAATAACTGCAAAAAAAAAAAAAAAAAATTGTAAACTTTTCTCAATAAACTCATAGTTATAACTATTTTTTTTTCGTATTAGATAGTTATTATATTAAATACGGAATTGAATTAACAATAATATTTATTAGTCCGTTAACTGGATACTTTTTCAGCGTACAGACACAAATAGTTTATATTTTCAATAATAATAAGACATAACGCTATGTAAATGGTTTAGAGAATTTGGCGTCAAGCATAAGTAAAGTTCAAGGAATAGATCCGCGTTTGTATTGGATATGTTTGGGAAGTTATAGAGTTTAGTCGCGAAGCCCCGAGATAACTTATGTCAATTAAATGCTGATGTGTCTGTGTGTGGGTAATATTATAGTAAAAAATATTAAAAGTTAATAACAGACTCCACTCGAGACAGGTATTGTGTTTTGACGTTTTAACTTGTTCACCGCGTTGCTATGATATTGCATCATATCGTTACGTTCACAAGACGACAATTAATTAAAATTCCAATTAATTTCGAGAAAACTTATTAGTCAGCGAGAGGATGTTGCCATAAATTGTGTTAATAGCGTACGTTCTCTGCCACCGTTACATAAGCAAGGGAGTGGAGAGTAAAAAAAACAAGGGAAAAAAAGGAATAGGGTAGCCAAAGAGCTTTAAAAAAAAAAAAGTGACTGGTAGTTTGTTTATAGGACGAGTGAGGTTAAACTAATAATGAAAAACATAATATATAATGTGCAGACGAAAAAAAGTGAAACACGTGGGTTTGTCATTGACAGAGTTTTCTCTCTCTATAGTTGTGAGAAACATAATACCTATCTCGAAAAGACCAGTGTAGAGTACTGGGAAAAACTAGGTAGGTATATAGTACTTTTCTTGTAACCGCGGTCAAATAATAATCTTGTTTTCTGCCGGACCTATATCAAATAAAAAAAAAACCTTTGGACTAAGCAACCATAAACTTTCTGGTTAAAACTCCACTTGGTCGCTTGTACATATTAACTTGTGTTACTACATCGTCCACAGCACACACATACACATACGTGAGTACACATAATATATTATGTATTCGAATTACAGAACACAGATATATAACATGTGAACTCTGTATTTCCAAGCACTCTTCGCGTATCTTGGGATTTAAAAGGCATTAAAAATAAATATATAAATTGTTTTCTCTCTACTGTAAATGTCTGTGGCAGAGTTGAGTGTATCTAGTCGAGTCGAGTAGTTAAATCACAGTTTATTAGTTATCTTTGATTCAGGTAAGAAATGTAGGCCGGTCACACTTCATTTCAGTACGACCAAAAGTGCCTGTTTAAGGGTTAAAACTGGGTTTCTGGCAATTTACACTGTACTATTAATAAAATGCCATATGAACATTTTCAATAACAATAACAGCTGCTATTCGCGACTACTTGTCGCCACGACTTTTAAATAAGTCAGCTATCAGCCAAAACATGAATACAATTCACGAGACGGTCGGTAATGGTTACATGTGCTATGGCGAATGTTATTGTAATGTATAAATAAGCAACATCAGTCGGCTGTGTGTGTGTGTTTTTTTCGAGTCGACCAAGTTTTATCAGTGTTTAACGTCTCTAACTAAACGACGGCCGTCACTTACACCTTATAATAAAATGTTTCGCTCGGGGGTTTTAAACCGTAGTCACGGCTCGGCAGTTATATATGAAATCGCAATTATGAGGCCGCCTTCAACGCCTCCCCGATGTAGCTAGCCGGCGTATAAACCACCCTGGCTCTGCCGAAGTTCAAAACCGTGCACGTGACACGTACATCAGCAATTTATATATACGTGTTCACCTGCTTGCCCGCCCAAGTTCTACCACAACAGCCGTGGGAAATTAATTTCGCCCATTTCTTTTAGCTAAAACTAACTTGGTGGTGCGTAGGAGTTGGTAGGCGAATTTCGCCACTGGCCACCGAAAAGTTTGCCTCGTTTTATAGAATTTCACCGAAGCCAATATAAACGACTTAAAAATCTCTCATTTAATTTTAATTACTCCTAATAGTAGGTAGATATTAACGTTCTCTAGACAGCTGTACATGTCTGTACATTGTGGATCTAAAAGGGCCAATGTAAATTGTTGACATAAACAGATACCAAATCCACTACACGTGAAAAGCAAAACATTCTTTATACATCGCAGAAAAATGGCAGAATTATGAAGAGTTATGTAAAAAGAAATTAACATAATATGTATAAGAAAAACTTTAACCTTCTATCGGTCGCGCGGTTTTCTTCATCACGCCCTAATTAAGTTTTGCGACTTTTTGTAAACTTTTCACGTCGTCACACAAACTAAATAATTGTGTGACTTTGGTAATATTAATTTTATACTCTGCCGTCTAGTATGATATCTTAAGTAATCATTGCGTTGTAAAAAAACATGTTTAAAAGTACTCGCATGATTATTAAAAGCAAAACGATGTAGTTTTGAGTGAAGTTTTGTAATGATTACGAAGGCCTTTTATTTTAAGAACACTGTTTATGACCTTGTCAAACCGAAAATAGCGTTAGGTACATTGTTTAACACTTTGGAAGTTGTACTTTATAGAATAAATATAATAACATTCATATTATACACTAACTTAGCATAGTAGAACGATAAATGTCGGATAAAAAACATGCATAAGAGATTGTATTTTTGAATACTTGTGAATGATGGTATATTATTATATGTATACATATAAAAAGGGTGTATTATTTATTCAATTTTTTCGGAGCACGTTCAACATAAAATATTAAAAAAACGTCAAACTTGACTACATAAGAAAAATTGGTATATTATGTAGTATTAGGTAATATATTTTTTTTTTTATACTTACACCAACTATTAACTAAATTTCATTTACTAATTAATTGGTTTTCAATAGCCACCCGACCCAAAACTAAATTTAATCTAAATTCCTGAAATATCTCGTTGAACGACGGATATTAATATTATTTCCAAAACGTTTCAATAAAATGTTATTATTCAATTATAAAATACGGAATGTTCCGGTCGGCTCGAAGTTATTCCTATACATAATACTATATATAGGTATTAATCGTACAATATTACATTATTATTAATTTAATAACAGCGGTCTTCTTCGAGCAAATAGAGGTTGTGCGCAGAGAACAGATACACAAGTCGACGTTTAAAAACCTTTGAACGTTTTACCACAGATAAAATAAAACAGAAAGTGCACTCTAAAAAAATAAAAATATGTAAACAAACTTTAATATAATCTCAGGTCAATGTGATAAAAAAATAAAAAAATATAATACTTCTGTTATACAGCGTGGTTTAAGAAATTGTATCAAACATCCGTAATGTTATCACCATCAACCATCGATTAATACCATCGTTGAATAAATATTCTGTGGATCGATACTTGTTATCAGTAACTCTTATCAGTTTACGTTATTATTGTAAATCACAGATATATATATATTATAATAAATATTATTATATTAAAATAACTATATTGCTAACTAGTGATAAGAATGGAAGTCGACATCCGCTATTTTTGTGAAATTTATGTTTGTATAAAATAATATATATATATATCTGTGGTTTTGTGTTATCAACTTAACTTATAAAATTGCTATAATCATATTTTCACATTAACGTGATAAGGTTCTAATTTCCACAAAGACGGCGGAAAATGGTAACTTTAATTATTTCTATTGGCGCCATGTACATAATACTTAGCAATCTAGTTTACTATAATATCCATCTGTGTTGTAAATAGTGTGTACAATATTTTTTCGACACTATAGTTTGGCCCTACCGCATTAAGTTTAAACCGATCAAAAATCGTAATTTGAAAATCTATCGTTTTACTACGAAGTGTTGCTATCTGGTTTTATTAATTAATCTGTAGGTTTTCGCAAATCTATGCCGTGACGGATGCGGGATAGCTATCAGACGAGCTCATTTTGGCTCTTTGGGGTCATTATCGTTTGTCGTTATTCGTTTATATCGAATTAACATTTTCACCGACAGGACGTGTGATGGGCAATAGTAATGGCGTGGGAAATTATAAAAATCGTAAACCGAAATAGGGATGCTGGGTGCGAAATTACGGGTATAGGTTCTAGTATAAGTTTAGGCGAGAAACGTCAGCGGAGGCGAGTCTAATTTATGGCGACCTGTTGTCCGAGAGAAAGGCGTGCAATTACCGTTTGCTCCGAGGCATTCGGCCGCCAAACGATTACCCGGAGCACATGCCTTAGCGTTTAACACGGCCATTTAACAAGAATTAATATCCTTCCTAACCCTTAACGCTACCGCCAACCGCCCTGAAACACGTTAGGTAAAGCCCCCCGTCATACATATACACCCCAAACGATAAATCTTGACCTTTCTACCCCTGTCCCCTCCCCCACAACCGAAGAGAATAAGAAACAAACAGGTAAGTTTATTGCGCCGCGATCAAAGTCAAGAGTAAATTGAAATTGCTGAAGGCTCGTGTACGCAGTAATAATAACGTGAGTAAATTAAAATAAAAATAAATACATTTTCGTTAGTTAAGCAACGTTATCCACGCCTAGGTTTTATAATGATATTTTCTAATAGGCAATTTAAAGGATTTATTATGGAAACATATATTAATCACGGTATAA